TATTAAAAATTATATAAATATGACTTATATTATGTCACATTTATAATTTATTTTAATGACTAGTTTTGGTAATCATTTTTATTTCAACAAACTAGTTTAATTACATTCATTTTTAGACAATAATTTAACTAAAAAAATAACCTTTCAACAATTATATTGTCTTTTCAACTTTTTAATTAACTTAAAAAAATTATTTAATAAAAAGAAAACTTAAATGCAACACTTTTCATTATTTTATGTTATACTCAGATTAAAATTTGTGATAATAATACAAACTAACATTAAATAGTCACTATGTAACATGAATATACCTTTTAATAATAAATAAAAAAATATTGTAGAAATCACATGTTATTGAAAGAGCAATTGTATAAATTATTTTTTACCAACCTTCTAACCTATTAAATAAAAATACATTCAATATATTTTTAGGTTTTAGAAATTAATTGTGTTTACTTTTCATTAATTTTTTTATAAAATATTTGATGAAATAATAAGAGCATACAAAAAAAAATGTAACTAAATTGTTTTGAATCTCTTAAATAAGAAGATAATATAGACTATGTAACATTTGTCAAACATTTATACATGCCAATTTTTCATTACTTTCATTGCCAACTATATTTCCAAATCAGGATCCAAGATTTAGAATGTTTCGTTATATTGCTTTCTAATTTGTGTTTATATGAAAAACTTCTTTACTTGTAAAAAAACAAATCAATCAGAAGATTATATTTTTCTAATTCAAATTAACATGTATGACTTGTAATCTTGATGGAAGGTGATATTTTTGCTTTTAAAAACATGTTTTGAAGATTAAAAAAATTGTGGTTTTGATTATGTAAAAATAATACAATGAAATACATTGTTTATGTATCAATTCGTATTATTAGAAATAAATAAAAAAATCAAATTAAAGTAAATTTATATAAATATTAAAATCTACTAAAACTAATTTAAATAAATCATTTATATATTTATTTACACAATGTACTGATTTCTATATTTACAATAAAAACAAAATCATATGTTAATTTGTAATTTTATTGATTTGTATAAATGAAGTAAATAAAAATTAAATAATTTTTTATATTTAATATATTATTTTATTATGTAATATCATTTTATATATACATTTATATCAATATTTAATATATTTTTCATATATAAATTTATTAGTCTATACATTTTTTATTGTTTTATGTAAACTATACATTTATATGTTTTATTATGACAAAATTCTGATGAAAAAAAAAACTCCAAAGGGAATAATACATCATACATATAATTTGACCTTAACAATGTTATCATAGCAGACATGAGATCGAAACATTCTTATTTCTAGATGGAACATTGACGTCCACCATGGGTCGAGTTTCGCTCCATACATACTCTTTAATCCTTGATTGAGGAGTTATGTTCTGGTACGTTGATGAGTCTCATATCACTTAAGAGTCGAGACTAATGATAGTTTATATACATCATCATTTCTTAACCTACATTTTTTAAAGACAAAATCATTATGAACTAGAGCCCCAAAGTGAATAGTACCTCCGACATAACAATTGATTTTAACGATATTATCATAAAGCTGAGATACTATCATTTGTGAAACATATATCATAGACTTTTTTTTTTTTATGGCAAAACGGGTCAGGCCCGGCGGGCCGGCCCACCAACCTCTCATAATATGGCGGGGCGGGTTTGTGTTTTCAACCCACCAGCTCGCTTTGGCCTGCCCTGCCAACTCGCCAAGGCCAACCGCAGGGACGGGGTGAGCTAGCTCGCAGATCCGCCTAATTAATAAAAAAATAATTTTTTATTGTAATAAAGTTAATTATAAAGATAATACATAAAGTTAAAAAGTTAAAAAAGAGAATTAAAAAAGTTTCACTCTTACACAAAATATTCTCCTTATTTAAACACAACTTTCTCTCTCCTGTTCTTCTTGTTCATCATAAGCATTAATTAAAAGTGTAAGAATTACTCAACCAAGAATAATGTGACGTTTTATCAAATAAAAAAGATATAGATATTTAACTTTTTCAATATAAAAAATAAAAATTTTATAAGTTTTAACGTTATATATATATATATATATATATATATATATATATATATATATATATATTGTTATTATTTATTATTATGTAAATTTTATTATTGTTCTAAATTATAATTTCTTAAAACAATGTATTGTTTTATATTATTAAATTGAATTATTGACAAACAAATAATAATCTTATTATTACATTTATTGAAATTTTTTATTTTAAAAAATATTTTTTTTAATTATAGCGAGTCAACTCATGCCGTCCGTCCCGCTTTTGGCGGACCAAAGCGAGACGGGCCAAAACAGGACAGGTGACCTGTTTTACCATCCTTTTAGTCATTTTATAAATTTTAGGAAACATTTCTTTCTTCGTATCATTATTACTATTTGTTCTGTTAATATTATTATTAGCGAAAATTATGTGTTACTATTCCACTAAAATAATATAATATTTATTTTAAAAATAGATAATTTTGTAAGAATGATTTTGAAAAATTTGGGTTGAAAAATGGAAATTTGGATAATATGAAAAGAATCCTATTCACTTTTGAATCATTTACAACAAAAAATATTTTTGTATAATTAATGACAATGTTAAAACATTTACAACAAAAAATTTATAAAAAAGTTTTAAGAAATCATTTTTTGAGTACTAAAATATTTTTTTATTAATAAGTAATTATTACAAAACATTCTTAAAATGAATAATCTTACTAATTTATATTTTTATTAAATAATAGTTTTTTAGTTTTAATTTATAAATGACACCAAAAATCAATAATAAAAATTGTATTTTTTTTATAATGAATTTATTATACAGTATTAATTGCTTCTTGATGGAGTTGTTAACCCAAAAATTTCAAACTCGATGAATTTTAATTATTTTCGCAGAGGCTGTTTGAATAATTAAAATATGGAAAACACATATAAAATATTTGGAATACAGAAAGTGCAAGGTTAAATGTTGGGTTAAATGGTTTGAATCGTGGTATCAGGTCCTGCTTCATCAAGTGATCTTGAGTTCAATTCTTGTTCAAGCACATGGTTAACCAGGCTCTGATACCATGACGATCCTGAAACCCTAATTTTATTCTATTCTCAATTTTTTTTATGAAAAAAAACGATGCGTTGTGATGTGAGGGAACCATACCCAACAACCATCACATATTAAAGTGAAATTAGTGTTTTCACATTAGTTACTTCAATTTTATTATTTTGAATGTAATTTTAATAGTCAAATATGGTGGTGGTGTTTATCCAAAAACTTTCTTTCGTAATTGTTTTGTCGACTATTAAATGTTGTTATTTTATACATGTGTTTTTTTTTATTTTCTTTTTCCAGCATTTTTTTTGCCAGTTATTTTTCATTGAACGTACCTTTCTCTTATAGCGTACGATTAAATATTTTAAATTTCTTCTTTTTTTCCAATATATGAATTAAAATTTATTGTTAACTTATTTTTGCAGTTATATATTTAGAAGATGAACCACTTGAAAATAAAATTTTAAAAAGAATACCAATTTTTATAATGGTGTAGAATTAACCTTAATCAATTTGTACAAATCAAACAACGCGTTTTAAGTTTCTTAAATTTTTAATATTTATAAATATTAGTTCCATATACAAGTGAAAATTAACCTAAAAATTCTAATTAAAGTTATTCATATACAAAATAGTACAATTAAATATAAAGCTTACACAAAAGTAACAGATTAATAATAATAATAAAACTACTTCCTCTCTAGTAGACTATAATTGATTAGTTTTAATTTTAAAGTTAGAAATGTGTACGTGTTTTTCATTTAAGAAAAAAAAAAAACTAAACAAAACTCAATCCAACCGTTTTAATTGATAATTTTTTACTCGAACTGTTCTGCTATTTGCCAAAGTGATTTGTTTTTTGGAGACCTGATTTTGAATTAATTTTAAAACGATATCGAAAGCTAAATTAAACGAGACAAAATAAATTAACCTTTTCTATAAACTAAAGTATCCTTGTGCATTTAACTTTTTTATCTTCTTCATTTTCTTCTCTTCATTAAAAAGTTTATTTTTTTCAGTAAGGAAGAAATTCTATTTCGCTTCACCTTATTGTAGGCAAATCATTTCTCTCTCACGAAGACAACGCCCTAATACATTTTAAGTACATTTTGAGTTTAAGCAATGTATCAACTCTCAGTAATCTGATTTTATACCGTGCAAAAAATCTTTCAACGTTAAAATTCAGTTTTCTGTTTACAGTTTAGAAAATATGTTTTCGTGCTTTCAACCAAAAAAAGGATGAGGCCTTAGTACGAAGTTGTTGCACACATTGAAGGTAACAACAGGTATACCCCCCATCGTTGAAATCCTACGAGGCTGCAATATTCACTGTCTAAAAATTTAAAACGGGCTTGGAAGTTTTCTCAAGTTTTTTAACTGTCACGCAATAATAATTAGGAGGAATATTAATTATCAAAATACAAATATCAAAACTCAAAATGGGATGCGCTTTGATTGGTATCAATTACAGTTATAAACATTGAATTCAAACCCAATAAAAAAAGCTCAAAAGTATTAAGACATCCCATGAAACAAATTCCTACTATAATTTTAGCCAAGATGTCCCTACTAAACCAGAAAACATAAAAACATAAAGCCAATTTGTCTCAGAAGAGGACCAAAAAACAAACTAGATAATATTCACCCCTGCATCCAGAATTACCAATCCACAAGAAGATTCCTTAAAAGCACTAAGCCTGCAACGATCGACAATAACAAGAAAAAAATCAGAACAATTCCATGAAACTCGCACCATTTTCCTATTGATAAAAATCAGAAGGACAACATATACTTTATCTTGAATAAGATTATGATGATAAAGAAATAATTTTAAATTTAGGGTCACGTTGTTAACAAGATAAAGTAGCTTGTAAAACGCACAGTGAATGTCAACACCCTCCATTTTTAATAATATTGCCCAATGCTAATCATGAAAGAAGCAAAAAAGAAATCAGTAGCTACCTTGTTGGCTATGTTGTTGGAAAGCCAGTCCAAACCCTCATAAAGACCCTCCCCAGAGGTTGCACAGGTGCTCTGGATGTACCTGAAAGAAAACAAAAGTATGTTAAATTTCAACAAAGAAGGCGTTCGGTTCTAGCCAGTGTCTATCAAAATTTTTACCAGTGGCGCTGTCTGAGAGAGTGAAGACCCAGCTTGTCAGTAATTTCAGCAGCATTCATTGCATTGGGGAGATCTTGTTTGTTAGCAAATACAAGCAATACTGCATCTCTCAGTTCATCCTGAAAAGATGATTGGAATTTAACTCTTGGAAATTTATGCCTTTTCATCACAAGATGAGAGAAGGCAAAAGTAAAACCGTCAATGACTCAGGTCATGATGTCATTATTTACATTGGGGCGAAGTTCTAAACAGGCCAAATCAATAGGAATATATCTTCCAAGGGGACTAGAGTAGTATGAACTGACAACTAAACTTAAGAATATACCCCAACATTAATTACAGACATTACAATCACACAAAAAGCAGGTAAATTAACTAAGTATTTTGAATAAAAATGCTCTCTTATGAACCCCCATTATCAATAGGAAAACACCCATCTTTTGTTAAAATTCATCATTGGGAAAACTAATGCAGCATCATTAGAAGCATAGTCATACCAATAGCAGAAACAGACATCGCATACTTTAGTTTGAACAGTTCTTTATTTCCAAAATTTTCATTGATCAATGATATATACATATTTAAATCAACAAAAAGTTTTTTTTTTTTGTTTATATTTAATATGATATCTAAACCTGTATATTTGTACTAGTTTCTAATCCTTTAACTAATTCTGTGATCCTACACTTCATTTATGCAAGTGAAAGAAATTATTGTTGGGGTGAGTAGAAAGAAAATGAGAAAAGACAGAAAATTTTGAATTAGACAGAAACTTTTAGAAATTATTTTCTTGAAGTCATATTTTCTCTCTTCTTTCAATTCATTGTCATCAACCAAACGATAAAAAATTCCAATTTCACAAAATTTTCCCACTTTTTTCTTTCCTCTACATCCAAACGTAGGGCAATGTCAGATGAATATCTAACAGAAACAGACACAAAAACAGAGGTATCAAATAATAAGAGCCCGCCTGAATTGACTAGTACCTCGTTCAACATCCTGTGCAACTCATCTCTTGCCTCAACAACTCTGTCCCTGTCATTACTGTCAACAACAAATATCAGACCCTGTGTGTTTTGGAAGTAGTGCCTCCACAAAGGGCGAATCTGCAAAAAAAAAATAAAATTGTATTCAGCTACTGACGTCTAAGATATATACATAAAATTCAGCACCATGAAGGCTTTATCAAGTAATTGTTAATGCATAAAGATCAAACTTTACACCTTGTCTTGGCCACCAACATCCCAAACAGTGAAGCTAATATTCTTGTACTCCACAGTTTCCACATTGAACCCTAAAGCAATTAAGAGAAATAAAAATAAGAAAACAAACAATTGCAAGCAACAGCACAGACGAGTTACAATTTCACCCAATTATTTTGTAACAAAAATTAAGCCTAGAGACTCTGTAACTTGTCTCAAATTATTGCCGGAAAAAATATTTTATTTAGTATGTTCGAGGTTCCAAATATGAACAGTTAATAGTTAGTTATAGTAGTATCAATAGTTAATTAGACTAACTATGTAGTTAATTTGAGATTATGGAAGGACAAAGGATATGGTTAGGGGTAGAAATGAGTAACACTCTGTCCTGCATCGATTGAGAGCTAAGAATTAGCTCGTTTGTAGAAAGAGGAAACCTTGGAGGAGAGATCTTTCTCCTCGCTCTGTTCATTTCCAATTTAGAAATACAACCTTACTATTTCTCTATTTTTCTGCTGTGGGTTACTATCAGACTAACTAATACGAGGCCGTGAGTGATAATAGTTATAAAACATTACCAGGATTTCACATATGCATCACAAAATGAGCAGCCTTGGAAATAACCAACATCATTTGAGATCTCAGTCTTCAATTTTCAAGGTTTCATTACCAATTCAATAACGTATGACCCATCCTAAAAGCTTACTAGCGCTTAACAACTTCTGAAATCAGTTATTTAACTTATATAGTCCTCCTACAAGTTGTTACTAGGATCAACACTGAAAATGTAAGCACACAAAAATTCTATAGGTGAAATAAAATAAACACATACACATATTATATAATAATAATAATAATAATAATAATAATAATAATAATAATAATAATAATAATAATAATAATAATAATAATAATAATAATAATATAAAACAACCAAAACCAAAATCGAAAAAACTTACCAATGGTAGGAATAGTGGTAACGATCTCTCCAAGTTTGAGCTTGTACAGGATGGTGGTCTTACCAGCGGCATCAAGACCAACCATCAGAATTCGCATTTCCTTCTTGGCAAAAAGCCGACTGAAAAGCTTGGTGAATGTCAACCCCATTTCTCCTTCAACTAGTGGATCCCTAAATTCACAAATTGCACTGAACATTAACAGAACTGAACTTATTCCTCAGCAAAATCTCAACCAAATCGTTTCATTCACGTCCGAAACAAATCCCAAAAAAAAAAAAAAATCAAACCAGTTCAACATTGATTAAATGAAACGATACTGGCCTCGGCCAGATCTCAAGTCAGACGAAGAAACAGCAACACGCATTTCGATCTGCCGCACAGCAAAAACATCACAAGGAAACCGAAACGGATCGCAAGACGTCAAAGAAAACCACGAAATTTACACGGCGCGGGTTGAGGAAAGGAGAACGATCTGAACATCCGGATCTCGAAACCCGCAGATCGAACTATTCAAATTTCAACCAGCGGCAAAAGCAAAGCATCGAAAAAAAAACGATAAAAGCAATTCCCAAACTGAAGAGCGAAAAAACTGGAAAGACACATGCAATAGAAAGTATCGAATAGATAAATGAAGTCACGGAAGAAGGAAGGGGTCGGAAGAGAAGGTGGCAGGAGAATTTGAAATTTACCTTATGGGATCTCGAACGAGAAAGCGTAGAGAGAGGAAAAAAGAAGAGAGAGAAGCGAAGAATGCTTTACAAAAACGCAAATTGGAAAGAAGGGGGATTTTATAGCAGAGACATGACCGGGGGTACCCGAATTATATGCGCGGTCTGGATCAAATAACTACAGCACCCTGTAAATTCCTGCTCATGCATTTTTTCGAACCTTCTAAAACCAATGTCCCTTTTTAAATAATTCAAATACCCTTAATCAACATATTTATAATTTCAATTTAAGCCAATTTTTTCATATTATCTAATCACAAATTATTCTTGTACATAAAAAAATTTAACTTCTTAATTATTTTTTAAGTTTAATACACATGAACTGTGGATATAAATATTTTTATATCATCAGTTACTCAGGAACTAATTGTATAAAACTTATTTCATATATTTCTAATTGGAGTTATGATATTTTTTTATTTATTTCACCCCTCCCTAATTTAAAATGCATTTGGATACCATAATTTTTTCTTTTATGTAACAATTAAGTCTCTTAATTAATATCTCATGAAATTTTTAAGGTTAAATTAACTATTTATTGTGCATATTCCTATGTTAACTTATTTATAATATTTTACAGTTTTAAATAGAGACATAAGTTTTGGATTATATTGTAAACACGTAATAACACAGTGTATTTATTTTGTAACATTTTATTATAATTAATTAAGTCGATTATAATTATTATACTTTATAATTTTTATACATAATAATGTTTATATTTTTTACATGGTTTAAATTATTTTAATTTTAATATTATTTATACTACTACTTTTGATTTTATTCATAATGAACTCTAATATTATATATATAATTTATAATTAAGGTAAAATACAAGTTTTAGGTTAGGCATAAAACATAAATAAATAAAAAAATACATGTGACATACAAATGACAATAATTGCTATACTAACTTTATTATACCTATAAAAACAAAGATACAACATGTTACACTATTTATACATAGAAAAATAAAGATACAACTACACCTTCTAGCTAACCAAAACGTAAAAAATAATAAAATTATATTTTCTATAAAATGAAAAATTAATTTATCCAACATTAGAATTTTATTATATTATCTTGATAATATATATAAAAATATAATTCAATTTTTCATAAATATATTATTTAATGATAAATATTTGTATTTTTAAATATTATATTATACATTAAAATTAAGTAATGTAATAAATTTAAAATAATTTTGAAAATTGTATAAAATTAATCTAATTAATACGACTACAAACTCAAAACACATATTATCATGTTTTAAAATTCTAAAATTTTGACTTTATCTTATGTTTATTAATCATAAATATTTTAAACATATTTATTATATGGACTACATAAATAAATAAATTTATTTATTTAAATTTTAAAAATCAATTTTGAATAATTTCTAAAAGAAAACATCTTTAATAGGAAAAGAATTAGATATATGCGATCAATCTTTTGAGAAGCTTGCACACGTAAATACATATTCTATAGTCTTGTTTACTGAGTGTGATGATGATTTTAAGAAACAGGACAAAATTGTTAAATCTAAGTGTTTCTGGTGGAATTTTGATCGATTTCGATTCTAAGGGTGTTTTGGTCCTAATAAAAAATCTACCACGTAAGTTCTTTTTACTTAGGCTAACAGTCTGACTTTCAATCGAAAACGTATATGAGAATCGAAAATCATAAGATATCAAGAAAACTGTTTTTGGTGTTGTCTTTAAAGTATCGAAAACAATAAAGTATCAAATCGACAAAGCAGAATATTAAATTGCGAGAAAATGTAAAGTGCGAAAACCCCAAACTTGCATTAATTGTAAATGACAAGGAATCGAAAAATAGTGCAAATGTAAATGGCAGGAAATCGAAATGTGCAGGAAATGTGAATGACAATAAATCGAAAATACGGAAACTTAAACTTTCATTGAATTGAAATGGACAAGGAATTGAAAATACAGAAACATAAAATTGCTGAATTTAAATTGCATCAAAATAAATTACCAAGGAAAATACAGAAAGCGGTAAATGTACTCAGTGAGCAAGGAAATCCAGATTGCCAGAAACTTCATGGTGTTCGTCGTTTCTCCGGTAGACTTTTCACTACTGATCCTGTTCTCTGCCAATTTCCGCCCCTTCCTCCTTCCTCCTTTGTACTATTTATAGGGCATCATTCAAGTCTTCCAGAAACAGTTAACAAGACTGATACCACGTCCTACGTGTATAAGGCAGTTCCTCTTTTACGGTTTCCCACGTTCTCACGATCTTCGCCTCTTCCATAACTTAGAAACTGCTTTCCAAACGTGCGTTTTGACTATTTCCCTTCAAGGTTTAGCCGGGGTTTCGATATCCACATAGACGAGCCTTCCCTTCGATTTCGACTTAATCGAAAACTTTGCATACCTGGCATCGATTCATTTTAACCTTAACTTCATATACTTCAAAGTTGTTCCATGTTAAGCCTTCGACTATTACTCCTACCCTTCTGATTCTACCTTTCGATTTTATGTGCTACGTTCTTTATAATTGGACATCGAAAAAGTTATCATACGCTTTGTTCGTTTATCGATCATATTTCTTGATTTCACACTAACAAAATGCCCCCCTGAAAGAATATAAATGATTTCTGTTTTATATTCTTTCAATATTCCCGCCTTAGTGTTCGAAAGCCCACAGGATTTAGGGTTTAGGGTTTCTGGGGTTCTAGGGTTAAAAGGGGTTTTAGGTTTATTTTTCACTTTACGTCGCCGTCTCGTCAGTCTGTTGCCTTTCAGTACAAGTTACATTAATTACCTTTCCTTTCCGTCGTTTCCAACTCCCTAGACAATTTCCCTTTAATCTTTCCTTGGTCTTTACTCTGGTTTTTTACGCGAACTATCACCCTCTTTGCAATCTCATCTTCTCCTTTGAACTCCTGCCTTCGTCCCTGTTACCTCATCCGCTAATTTTTCCTTTTCTGTTTTCCTAAGCTTACTCCAATGGCTACTTCATCCAAGTCATCTGATTTCTCGACTCCCCCTCTTGCCTCATCCGCTGCTACCCTGTTAGAGATTAACAACCAGAAGTTTGCTCCCCTGCCTCTAATGGAGGAAGCTTCCAAAAAGATTGCTGAAACGCAGGTATTAGTTCCTTATACTGTTGAGGGGGTTGGTTTTGCTTTTGGGGGCCCCATTCTTTCTGGTAGTGGAACTGTTTCTCCCCTCACCCTCTCAAACAGCCCTGCTCTTGTACATCAGCCTGAAGTTAGGATCGATTTTCTGAACCTTGTTTCTAAGGTGTATCGGACAGGCCCTCCCTCCAAAAAACCTTTGTTTACTAAATGGTTTGATAGGATCAAAGCTAAGTTTGGGAACCATTGGAGAAACGTAGGGATTTTCGATTTTTTACACTTATCTCAATGTGACTTGTCTTATTTAGACATGGCTATGTTTTTGGCTGCCGTGCATTTATGGAACAAGGAAATACATGCATTGGAATTACCTTGCGGCCCTCTCTCACCTACTCTTTTCGATGTCGCAGCCATCACTGGTTTAAAACCTACAGGGGAAAGATATTTTCAGGGTGCATTTCCTTCGGATAATTCACTGAAGTCAAAAATTGATTGGGAATCGAAGGCTTATGGGCATTTCTTTGAGAAACATTTTATTGATGACCCTTCGATAGCAGTTACTGACGAAGAGCACGTAGCATTTTTGGTATATTGGTTGTGCACCCATGTCTTTTGCCCCCGATCAATCCAAATTTCCTCCCATTTATTTAACCTTGCATATCTCCTACATTTAGGCCAACCTAACCTATGTTTAGCCAAGTTTCTGTTAGCGCATGTATATACTACTTTCGATGAAGCTGTCGATATTTTGAATACTCCTAAGGCATCGGGGAATTTTTCTGGCCCTATTTGGTTCATCCAGTTATGGTTAACTTCGATTTTTGAGAGCATCCTTCCTCGATTTTCTACCGTCCCCCCGAGTGTGAATATAGAAGGGGCCCGATTATCCTCTCGCCATCCTCGCCATAAGTCTGACGAAACTACCTATTGTAAATACCTTCACTTTTTGTTAATTAGATTCGATTTCGATTCAACCTTGGCCCCTTTTACTGTAAATCTTGGACGAACAAGTGGCCAACTTAGGGGGCCTATTTGGTTTAAGTCAAAGTTTCCTGCTTCAACTCCTGGGTTGCAATTAGAATTGGTCGATATATGGAGTAACTACTTAACCCAAGATATATTAGTATCGGGCTTTCACCCCAAGGATTTCAAGTTTCCTACTTACTACCCTCAACTTTTTTCAAGACAATTTGGCCTGAGCCAGTCTTTACCCTTTTTCCCTTTAAATACCTTCCCCAAATCCAAATTGACTGAGTCGAACATCGGCCGAGAGCTTTCTAAATTTTTGCCAAGAACCTCGATGCATCTTTATCT